TATTATTATTATTATTATTATTATTATTATTATTATTATTATTATTATTATTATTATTATTATTATTATTATATTATTATTATTATTATTATTATTATTATTATTATTATTATTATTATTATTATTATTATTATTATTATTATTATTATTATTATTATTATTATTATTATTATTATTATTATTATTATTATTATTATTATTATTATTATTATTATTATTATTATTATTATTATTATTATTATTATTATTATTATTATTATTATTATTATTATTATTATTATTATTATTATTATTATTATTATTATTATTATTATTATTATTATTATTATTATTATTATTATTATTATTATTATTATTATTATTATTATTATTATTATTATTATTATTATTATTATTATTATTATTATTATTATTATTATTATTATTATTATTATTATTATTATTATTATTATTATTATTATTATTATTATTATTATTATTATTATTATTATTATTATTATTATTATTATTATTATTATTATTATTATTATTATTATTATTATTATTATTATTATTATTATTATTATTATTATTATTATTATTATTATTATTATTATTATTATTATTATTATTATTATTATTATTATTATTATTATTATTATTATTATTATTATTATTATATTATTATTATTATTATTATTATTATTATTATTATTATTATTATTATTATTATTATTATTATTATTATTATTATTATTATTATTATTATTATTATTATTATTATTATTATTATTATTATTATTATTATTATTATTATTATTATTATTATTATTATTATTATTATTATTATTATTATTATTATTATTATTATTATTATTATATTATTATTATTATTATTATTATTATTATTATTATTATTATTATTATTATTATTATTATTATTATTATTATTATTATTATTATTATTATTATTATTATTATTATTATTATTATTATTATTATTATTATTATTATTATTATTATTATTATTATTATTATTATTATTATTATTATTATTATTATTATTATTATTATTATTATTATTATTATTATTATTATTATTATTATTATTATTATTATTATTATTATTATTATTATTATTATTATTATTATTATTATTATTATTATTATTATTATTATTATTATTATTATTATTATTATTATTATTATTATTATTATTATTATTATTATTATTATTATTATTATTATTATTATTATTATTATTATTATTATTATTATTATTATTATTATTATTATTATTATTATTATTATTATTATTATTATTATTATTATTATTAATTATTATTATTATTATTATTATTATTATTATTATTATTATTATTATTATTATTATTATTATTATTATTATTATTATTATTATTATTATTATTATTATTATTATTATTATTATTATTATTATTATTATTATTATTATTATTATTATTATTTATTATTATTATTATTATTATTATTATTATTATTATTATTATTATTATTATTATTATTATTATTATTATTATTATTATTATTATTATTATTATTATTATTATTATTATTATTATTATTATTATTATTATTATTATTATTATTATTATTATTATTATTATTATTATTATTATTATTATTATTATTATTATTATTATTATTATTATTATTATTATTATTATTATTATTATTATTATTATTATTATTATTATTATTATTATTATTATATTATTATTATTATTATTATTATTATTATTATTATTATTATTATTATTATTATTATTATTATTATTATTATTATTATTATTATTATTATTATTATTATTATTATTATTATTATTATTATTATTATTATTATTATTATTATTATTATTATTATTATTATTATTATTATTATTATTATTATTATTATTATTATTATTATTATTATTATTATTATTATTATTATTATTATTATTATTATTATTATTATTATTATTATTATTATTATTATTATTATTATTATTATTATTATTATTATTATTATTATTATTATTATTATTATTATTATTATTATTATTATTATTATTATTATTATTATTATTATTATTATTATTATTATTATTATATTATTATTATTATTATTATTATTATTATTATTATTATTATTATTATTATTATTATTATTATTATTATTATTATTATTATTATTATTATTATTATTATTATTATTATTATTATTATTATTATTATTATTATTATTATTATTATTATTATTATTATTATTATTATTATTATTATTATTATTATTATTATTATTATTATTATTATTATTATTATTATTATTATTATTATTATTATTATTATTATTATTATTATTATTATTATTATTATTATTATATTATTATTATTATTATTATTATTATTATTATTATTATTATTATTATTATTATTATTATTATTATTATTATTATTATTATTATTATTATTATTATTATTATTATTATTATTATTATTATTATTATTATTATTATTATTATTATTATTATTATTATTATTATTATTATTATTATTATTATTATTATTATTATTATTATTATTATTATTATTATTATTATTATTATTATTATTATTATTATTATTATTATTATTATTATTATTATTATTATTATTATTATTATTATTATTATTATTATTATTATTATTATTATTATTATTATTATTATTATTATTATTATTATTATTATTATTATTATTATTATTATTATTATTATTATTATTATTATTATTATTATTATTATTAT